CGCTCCTCCCCGCTCCTCCTCGCTCCTCATCTCTCCTTCTCCCTCCTCCTCTCTCCCCTTCTCTCCTTCTCGCTCCTGCTCCTGCTCCTCCTTCTCTTTCTCCTCCTCGCTCCTCCGGGAGGATGTTCTTGTGCATCCTGGCGGAAGGCACCCTCGCATGTTCTGTCTGTTTGGGCTGGCGGAGGGTCGCATGTTCTTGAAGGATGTTCTTCTGGCCCAGGTCCGACTGTGCAGAAAGCATGGGGGGGCACGAAGGCCGACAGCGAGTCTTGTTCATCTTGAACAGGACTCGCTGTCGGCGTTGCCGCGTGCGTCGTCCATTCGCGACAGGGGGCCGCCTCCCAAACAGCGGCCGCCATCGGCTCTGGACAACGTTTGCTGTTGGGCATCGTGCACATGCCTTCTGTACCCACTTCGGGCGTCCAAACCTCGATCGGATCGGCCACGGGCAGCGGGGTCGAGGAAGCGCGAGGGTTGGCGACGGGTCCCCCTTCCGTGCATCGGTGGCGCGCTTCGTCGCCAGATCGGGCGGCACCGGCTTCACGTTTCGGAGGTGCCTTCCCCGATCCGTGGGCATCACCGATTCGTGTAAGCGTGCGCCAGGGTGGGGGGGAGGATGGGGTGGATTGGATATCGGCACGGAGGAGACAGGGGGTTCTTGCGGGAAGCGGGTCCGTAAGGCTTCTCGCAGGTCTCGAGCTCATGGGGCCCTCCGCGGGCGACGGGCCCGTCAGAGAGCGATGCTGGATCGAAGGTGGCTCCTGGGGAGAGCCCTGGGTCCAAGCCCCGTTTCCTTTGGGGCCCGCTTCCGCCGTGTCGATCCTACAGTCAAAGTTGATAGTAATGCTGCGCGGTAAGGACGCAAGGGCCTTGGACGCCCATGCCGAAGCTTCTCGAGCGGGGCTGGCCATCGAAAGTGGTTGGGGATGGACCAAAGATGACCGAAGAGACAAGGATACAAGGGTCCCCTTCGGGAGCCGATCATACTTATTAGCGGTTTCGATTGTACAGCGATGCTGTTCCTCGGAGGCGGAGGACCGACAGACTCTCAGCACCGTGGCGCCACGACGTCGCGGCTATATATCATCACTCCCACACGTACACGTTTGGCCACGAGGCGTGTCTCTCCTTTCAGCCAGCACCGGCCCTATACAGTCTCAGATGATGGCAGCCCGCCCATGTTCGAATGAGACAGGCGCGACAATCCCCCACATCAACATCAAAACAATTGCCAACAAAAGCGCTGAATTACTCCATGTGTGCATTTGGTGTGTTGTTAATTTGTTTACCGTTTGTCGTATTTCGTATTGCTGTCAGCGTTCGTTTTAAATTGCGTGGGTGGGTCTTCTTCGTTATTCGGTTTGACCGCAATCTAGTTTAAAACGAAGGTGCGGGATGGTGTTTTAGATACAGTCAAATAGGAGCATAACGATGAGTTGCTTTCGATGAGTACTCTGGCATCCTTGCCTCTCGACGGACGCCTGACCCCTAGCCATGGGCCACGAGTCTCCAACGGTTTCAACTTGGGAGTCCAAGGGTTTCACATCTTCACTGTGCATCCTTATGATCTGGTCGCACTGTACAGTCGGACCGAGGTATAAGATCGATGCCGGTTCGGGGAGAGGGCCCCAATGTTCTTCGTGCTCGTGGGATGTTCCTGTGCCTCCCGGGGAGGGTGCCCTCACACGCTCTGTGTGTGTGTGTTTGGCTGGCGGAGGGTCTCGCGTTCTTGAGGCATGCTCTCCCGTCTTCATGTCCGACTGTGGTCGTCGCCGTCCTTCGCTGGGCCCTCCCAGGTCCGACAGGCCGTCCTCCCCTGCCTCTCTCTCCCTCTCTCTGCGCCCCGGAGGCGGATGCCGCCGTGGGCAGCGAGCGCCTCCCGGAGGGCGGGCAGCCCCCGGTGGCCCTGCCCCGGTCCTGCCGCTTCGCCGCCTTCGCCTGCGTCGGCTCCACCGGGGAGGCCCCTGCGCTCCCTGCCAGGCCCTCGTGGCCTCCCCCTCCTGCGCCTCGCCCTCGGGGCCTCCCTCCCGCCACGCTCACTTCTTCTTGCCTCCTCAGGCTCCTCGCTCGCGCCCGGACTCCGCAACCCCTTTCCCTCTCCATCCCTGCCGCTGTGCCTGCGTCCCTGTGTGCCGCCTTCTCTTCCTCACGCTGCCGCACCTGCTCCTCCTCCTCCTCCTCCTCCTCCTCCTCCTCCTCCTCCTCCTCCTCCTCCTCCTCGCTCCTCCTCGCTCCTCCTCGCTCCTCCTCGCTCCTCCTCGCTCCTCCTCCTCCTCCTCCTCCTCCTCCTCCTCCTCCTCCTCCTCCTCCTCCTGCTCCTGCTCCTCCTCCTCCTCCTGCTCCTCCTCCTCCTCCTCCTCCTCCTCCTTCTCTTGAGCAAGCTGCGAGGCGCGACACCTGGAGCGTAAAACCTCCTCCTCCTCCTCTGCCAATCCTCCGCGCTCGGCAACCTCACTGAGGCCTGGGCGGGTTGCGCCCGGGGGCTGGCCGAGCTCCTCGGCAGGGCGGCGGCCTGAGCGCCCGGTGCCCCCCTGTGGCCTGCCTGTCCACGTGCCGCTCGGCTGGGCGGCGGCCTCCACGGGCGCCACGAGGCGGGCGTGCACGGAGGCTCGGCCGCGGCGCGGCAGGTCCCCAAACGCCCCGTGGGCCGCCCACGTCGCTGCGAGAAAGAGAGAGAGAGAGAGAGAGACAACAAAAAAGAAAACAACAGAATGGACAGGAGCGGGGCGTCGGTGGGCGAGGTGGGCTGGGCGTGTGCGAGTGCCTGTTGCGCCTGTCCCTCCCGTCCCCCGCCGCATGGGCCTCGGAGAGGCCCGGGCTCCCAGCAGGCGTCTCGAGCATGCCGCGCCTCGCGCGCGGCCGAGGTGGACCCCGGACTCGCTGCCCCAGGCGGGGGAGCGTCGGCGCAGCTTGCCGAGCTCCTGCGCACGCGAGGGTGAGCGGGGCACCACCCGTCCGCTGCCCGTGAGCTTTCGGAGGTCCGCGCAGTTTTATGGGAGGATTGGCGCTGCACTCCCTTGGCGGCGGCTCCTCCGGAGCCGCCCCTGGCGCGCTCCTTTGCGCCAGGGGCCCCGCGTCGATCCGAGAACTCCGCGCAGGCATCCGAGAGTGAATGTTCACGTCTGTTTGTGTACGGTAGGTTCGCGTCGTGTCGACCGGCGGCGACCCCGCCGCGGGCGTTCAAGGTTGAACGCCGCCAGTGGTCCAGAATCGGCCTACATGGAACGATCGTGCGATCGAAAAGCCGCCGATCGTTCAAGGTTGAACGATCTTTCCGTAGCTCCTAGTCGGAAGGTGGGACTTGGGCGTGCGACCCATCTGCCGAGGCTCCTTCTCCACCTCCCTCCTCTTGGTCTGCCGTCTCGCCCAGAGGCTCTGTTCGATGCCTCGATCGCGGCCTCGCGTCGGTTGTGCTGTGATTTCCTTGCGCCGTGTGCATGGCTGCGCGCACACTGTGCCAGAGCAGTGGGCCCGAACGACTGAACTCGCACGGATCGCACAGAGCTGAATTCGAAGGGGCCCCGCTCGCACGGAGGCGGACTAGCACGAAGTTGGATTGAGACGGACTGAACTTGCACGGGGCTGGACTCGCACGGAAGACTTCTGGTGAGGACACCACAAGCGTCATCGATAGTGAAACCAAGCGAAAATTTATGCTTGTGGCGGGCGTTTTGATTTCAATTTGGTTGCTTCATTGGATTTACACACTTTCGGCGCCTGCGGCGGGCATGCGATTAAGTGTTTCATGGGTTCTAGAGGAATTGGCTCGTGCGGCAGGCGTTTGGTCCCACGCATCTGTTGACTTGGCATCGCTCGGACCTGTGCACTTTTCTCGGTGAGGACAATCGAGGAGCATCCTGGATCATCGAGAAAGAAAAACACGCACGAAGCCGAGAAATGCACCGGGAATGGATTTCCGAGCGATAGCGAGTAGAGGAATCGGCTCGTGCGGCAGGCTTTCGATTCCCACTCAACTCTTGATTGTGTTCACAATTGGCGGCTGCGGCGGGTATTCATGAAAACACGTGGTGTCCAAAACCTGGATAGCGAGTCGACAGGAGCATCTGGAATGTCCTTCGAAGGAGCTCTGGAAGCTCTAGGAAGGAGCTTCCTGAAAGCTTGAAGGCACACATATTTGCGGTCACAATCGGCGGCTGCGGCGAGCTTCCACGAAAATATTCGTTTTCAACTGCACGATGAAATCCAGGGCGGGAGGTTCGGCGCTTGCGGCGCCGCGGCGGGTTTGAGGGGAGCGCGACCGGTCGCCAAAGACGTCTCTCAAATCGCAGCGCGATCCGCGCCGAACCCATACACGCTGTCGTTGAAAGTAGGTATTTGTGGACTCCCAGATCCCAGCCTACCTTGGGCCGGGCGCCTTTCTAGTGCAAGCAACGAGCGTTTTACCCGTTTCATTCATCTTCAGCGTGCGGGCGGAAACCCATCTACTTCCAACGCTTTCTTACTTCATGTTTCTACCCACTTCTCCTGACCGACGTGCACGAGCCCCTAACTCCTGTCCGCATCTGTGAGGGTTATGGGTCATCGTCGCCGTCACCGCTGTCGCCATCTCCGTCAGCACCGTCAACAGCACCAGCCCCCTTCCTTAGTGGGCCCTGGACACGACAGGGCCGTTTTTGTTACCGGTTCCGTTTTGCCGCTTTTGTTGCTGGTTCCGACGCTGTCTTTTTACCGGTTCCGTCGCCGTTTCTGGACCGTTTCCGGCTCCGGGTCCAATCCTGGAGCCGCTTTTTTGCCGTTTCCAGTCGCCGTTTTGGTTGCTTCTTCCATTTTCAAGGGACCTTTTTTCGGAAACAGTGAAAAAAACGGCCCTGCCGTTTCCGGGGCCCACAGAGCCCCTTCCTGCCCATCATGATGTTCCTCCTTCTCCTCAGCATCCCCCCTCGATTGCGAAGGCTTCACGGCCGGCGCCGCCGACCCTGGGAGGGGACGACGAGGACGACGAGGGCGAGGACGAGAAGGAAGGGGGGCGAGGGGCAGCGGGGGCAGGGGAAGAAAGAGCAGGAGGAGGAGGAGGAGGAGGAGGAGGAGGAGGAGGAGGAGGACGCAGAGGAGGACGCCTTTCGCGCCTTGCCGCCCCTGCCCAGACGCCCGTCGCCGGCCGCAGCTGCGCCTCGTGCTCAGTTCCTTTTTTTGTTCGGGACCAGGACCGCCCGGGGGGGGGGGGGGGCACTCTGACCCAGGAGTCGCCCCGGGTCCCCCCCCCTATAGGCCCCCCCCGCCCGCCGCGGCGGGCAAGAGATCCGAGGGAAGGGACCTCCCTTCGATTCGAGCATGCTGCTGCTGTTTCCTGTCGCTTGCGAGGGTGAACGGCAGGGCGTCCTCCACACGCCGACAGGGTCGGCGGATGCATCCCTCCTCTCCTCAGGAGGGGAAAAAGCACACAGACACAAGTAATCGCCGATCCCCCAGAAAATATGGGAAAAGATGGGAAGTGGGGGGGGAAGACACAAACCCAGGAAACCTGGGAAAATCTGGGGATATGTTTATTTGTGTGTGTCTTTACTTCTGTGTCCCAGGGGCTCCCTCCTCTCCCTCCCGGTCCTCCTCCTCCCTCCACGGGCAGGCTCTCAACGACATGGCCACGGACCTGACCATCAGGGGCGCCCTCTCGGCGGGCAACACCAGGCCCGTGTGAGAGACGCGGCGAGGAGGGGGGGGGGAGCTGGAGCGGAGGAAGAGGAGAAGGAGAACAATCACGACAACAACAACAAGAACAAGAACAACAACAACAACAACAACAACAACAACTACAACAACAACAACAACAACGACGACGACGACAACAACAACAGCAACAACAACGACAACAACAACAGCAACAACAGCAACAACAACGACAACAACAGCAACAGCAACAACAGCAAGAACAACAACCACAAAAGGAATCGGAGGACAATGGAGAAGAGAGGGTGGAGGCTGGAAGCTGCAAGAGGAAGGAGTACGGTAGGTTCATGCGGCGTTGGCGCGCCGGCGACGCCAGCGAAGGTGTTCAAGGTTGAATTGTGCGACGCGGAAGCACCGAGGGACACTGTAATGCCATTGGACCCGACGGAATTCAAACTTGAACGATCAGGGCAGCGATCGATTCAAGGTTGAACGATCGACGAGGTGTCAAAAATCTTTGGGCGCGTCGACGCCTGACGAACCTACTGTACGTAGGGATGGCGTGCGCGCCGATTCGATTCGATTCGATTGTACGCCCCTACGGCCCGATCGCGTAAACTGCGTGAACAGATCGATCAGTTTGTGTTTCGGGGGAGCAGCAGGGCAGCCACCCTCGTCATCTGCTGCCTCCTCCTCCTCCTCCTCCATCTCCTGCCATTCCTTTCCGTCGCCTTGTTCCCTGCTCATGCTCCAGCCTCGTCCTTCTCTTCTTCTTCCTCCTCCTTCTCCTCATAAGCTCTCTTCCTGGTCCGTTTCTCATCCTGTTCCGTCATCTTATCTTTGTTGCTGAAGTTCCCCCTCTATGGTTATGACGATATCATCATCACCATGATCATCATCAGCATCAGCATCAACAGCAGCATCATGATCATCATCATTGCCAGCAGCAGCATCCCTGCTTGCCCTCCTAGTATATATCCCTCTCCTGCTGCCGCTCCGCTTCTTCATCATTGTTATTATCAGAATGAGGGGGGCCGAATGGTCATTCATTGTCCCCGGGTGCGTGGCTGAAGTAAGACTCCGCGGTGAGGATTATGCTTGTTGCGTTGTTGGTGGTGTCGTTGTTGTTGTTGTTGTTGTTGTTGTTGTTGTTGTTGTTGTCCTTGGTATTGTTGTTGCTGCTGTTGTTGTCGATGTTGTTGTGGCTGTTGGTGTTGCTGTTGTTTGTTGCCGTCGTTCCCCCCGCGACCCACCCCGCGACCCACCCCGCGACCCACCCCGCCACCCATCCCGCGATCCACCCCGCGACCAACCCCGCGACCCACCCGCGACCCAACCCGCGACCCACCCGCGACCCACCCGGCGACCCACCCGCGACCCACCCCGCGACCCACCCGCGATCCACCCCGCGACCCACCCGCCACCCCGACCCATCCGACCCACCCGCGACCCACCGCGCGCGACCCACCCGCGACCCACCCGCGACCCACCCCGCGACCCACCCGCGACCCACCCCGCGACCCACCCGCGACCCACCCCGCGACCCACCCGCGACCGATCCACATTGGTTTGAAGAAAAGATCAGCGCCTGCGGCGAGCTTCTCAAGAGTCTCGCAGACTGCCGACGTCCCCACCGCCCCCTCACTCTTATCCGCATCTGCGGGGTGCTACGTATTGTGCCTCCTCCGCCTCCTCCTTCCCCTCCTCTTCCTCCTCCTCGTTCACCTCCCCCTCCCGATTGTCCTCTCGTCATCGTCCACATCCTTATCTTCCTCTGTTGTCGCCCTCTCCTGACCCTGCTCGTCCTCATATATTCCTTCCCCTCCTGCGCACCCTCCCTCTCCTGATCCACTGCCCCCCGTCCTCCTGCAGTCTGACCCTCTCGTACAACTGCGCGGTGATCCTGTCGATGTGCGGAGGCTACTTGTCCGAACGGGCCGCGTCGGGCCCGGGCGCCAGGCGCGCCTTTGCCAGCCTCTGGGGGCTGTGCCAGCTGTGCCGCGGCCTCGGGATGCGGCACCTGACGCCGGAGCGCCGCGGTGAGAGGAGGAGGAGGAGGAGGAGGAGAAGAAAGAAGAGCAAGAGGAGGAGCAAGAGGAAGAGCAACAGGAGGAGCAGGGGGAGGAGCAGGAGGAGGATAGGAGAATAGGAGGATGGGATAATGGGAGGATGGGAGGGGCTAGGAGGATAGGACGATAGGAGGATAGGAGGAGGAGGATAGGAGGAGGAGGAGAAGGAGGAGGAGGAGGAGGAGCAGGGGGAGGAGAAGGAGGGAGGAGGGAGGAGGGAGGAGGGAGGATCGTAGCCATTTTGGCTCAAGGCTAAACGTTGTGAAGGACTATAGACGTCCGAGAATCAGCGAGCAGCTTTGGACTCTGCCTCCGCAGGTGGCCCGAGCCGCCTTTCTGTGGCCACCAGGGGCCACGGCGCATCCCGCGCCCCGACTCATTGCAGGCCTCCTCTCTTCCGTGCTGCTCGCGCTCTGGGCGCAAGGCTCGCTGCCATGTCCGCGGCCGCGGGCGCGTCCCCATCTGGCAAGCGATCTGGGCGACAGCTGGGACGGAACAACTCGGACGAGGCCCCGCCGAAGAAGAAAGTCGACGCAGGTGACAGCGAGGACAGCGGCATGGACACACCTCGATCTACGCATGGCGCCCGTGACGTTGCTGCCCTCTTTGAGGGTGAAGAACTTTGCCCCACTCTTCCTGGAGCTCAATCACCACGAGGGGCAGGTGCAGGAGGCCGTGCTGGCACTGGCGGCTCCTCACCCCAGCAGTTCCACGTGGGCAGCGACGGTTCCTCTGGAGAAGATACTGCGACGACGGCTCACGCCACTACGGAAGCTGCTGGTGGGTCGAGTGACTTACCTGGCCGTCGCCGTCCCCACGCTGAAGGCCCAGCAGATCAGGAGCAGCAGCAACTCAAACAATAGATCGACAGCACGAGGAGCGACGTCATGGAAAGCCTTCGAGTTATGCAAGCATCTTTGTCGGCGCTCAGTGGCACGATGTCGGAGCATTGCGAATCGATCGACGAAGCAGTGGAGAGAAGGATGTGCAAGGTTGAACACAAGGTGGCAGTACATGATACGCGTATCGACAAGCTGGAAAAAGGAGGTGCAGGAGCTCAGGGACTTGCTCGGGCTCATGCGCCGTGAGGAGGCCCCATCGGCCCCAGGCGGCCAGCGGCGGCTTCGACAGAGAGATCGACCCGACTATCATCATGGTGCGGACGCGTGAGGTCATGCCGAAGGCAACGATCGCACGAGCTGTTCAGACGTGGCTGGAGGACAGCAACCTGGGGGAGGGCGAGTTCACCGTGGAGGGCGAGCCCGCGGACAAGAGGTACCAGATCGTGGTCAAGGGCGCGCGTGGCTATGCTGCGCGTAAGGTTTCGCAAGCTATTAGTGCACTCAGACTTCCTGGGCGCGGTGCTGGCTGGAGGAAGATTACTGCGCAGTCGCCTCTCGGTGCGGAGGTGGAGCTGTCCATCAGCCCAGACAAGAGCCCGAAGCAGGTGGCCAGGGAGCTCGGATGTAAGAAAATTGTGCGGGCCATTGCAGACATGTGTCCGAACAAGAAATACTTCGTGGATAGGGGGGAGGGGGTGGTCAGCTCATCGTGGAAAGACCTCATCTCCTTCGAACCGACGCCTGGCAACCAGCCCCCGATCATCCACTTCAGCGACAGGAACATTGAGGGGCTCCAGATGTCGGCGGAGCGACTTCGCCAAGCAGTGGGCAGGCCGTTCGACTCCGCCACTGAGGCGGAGTGGTGTCTTTAGCCAACTCTTGGCCGCTTGGCGAGGGCCAACGGCCGCACGCTCCAGCTTGACGATCACGAGCTGGGACTGCAGGGCTTTGCTACACCATGACATTTACCTCCGCAGCCAGAAGCTCTCTTACCTCCGCCCCCTCATCCCCCCCCCCCCCCCCCCCCCCCCCCCCCACCGCGATCCTCTGGCCCCAAGAAGTGCACGGGGCCCTGGCGGAGGCTGAGGATATGATGTACCAGATCAACAAGAAATGCAAGATGGTTCACTCCTTTGCCCCGCGGGTCTGCGCCGCTTGCGAGACGCAGAATATTGGGACCAGAGGAGCATGCATGTCGCGTGGGTCGTCCAGACCTCCGCAGAGCACGAATGTTGGCGGCCTGCTGACCTTATTTCCTGATGTGGGTGCTCTGGCTTCCTTCCAGGTTAAAGAACTGGTTCCAGGCCGTGTGTTGAACGTGGTTGCGAGCTTTGGCGAGTCTGGGGGCTTCTGGTTATCGCATTACAATGTTCACAATTTTGGGCTCTCCAGGGTTGAGAAAAGGAAGGTTACCCAAGCGATCGACCTCGAGTTTCAGCCAGCGAAGTGTGCTCATGAGCGCACTCTTGTCGTGGTCGCTGGCGGTTTCAATATCAGCAATACCCCGCCGTCACCCTCGACGCCTGGAGGTGAGCTTCGCGGCAACTTTGGATTCCATGAGTGGAGAGCCCGTCGGGGCCCTGGTTGGCATGCACTGCTCAGCAAGATGGTCGAGGTTGAGCAACCCGACCCATCTCATTATTGTTTGGCAAATGACCCCACGAACATCATAGATAGGATCTTTGTGTCTCTCCCAGGGTGGGGCTTGATTCTATCGAATGCCTTGGGGACCACGAAAGACATCGTCGAAACCATCTTCCATCGGGACCTCTCGGACCACGCCCCTGCCTCCGTCGACCCCAAGAGTACCCCGCAGACCCCAGAGCAAGATCGCCCCATCCCCACAGAGCTCTCTGGCACCCCGTACTTCAGGGGTTTCATGGAGGCCCACCTGAAGGCTGTGTCTTGGGAAGGCTCATCTTCGCCGCTGAAGGTATAATCATTCAACTATCTCATGAAGGAAGGAGCCAGATTCGCACGCAACGCTATTCTTCATCACGACCCGTCATCTAGACTTGGTCGGATCATTCTGTACTGGAGCATCGCCCGAGCTGTCTGGAGGCAAGATGCGAAGCTAGGCTCCATCCTTCTGCAGGCACATTCGAGTGCACGTGCTGTTCTAGGCTACGACGTGTGCAGCGGACGTCTTTGGCTTCTCGATCCTGATAAGTTCGCAGCGGACCTTGACCAGCTGCAGACGGCGGACTTAGAGGCCCAACAAAACACCATCATAGAGAACCTCAATGAGGATACCCCTGAGAAGCTCCGTCGTAAACGTCGCCAACAGCTTCGTCGTCTTCAAAAACGGGCTGCGATTTGGGCTCCCTTCGACCGCCGTCTGCACTTGAAAGGTATCCGTCTAGGTGGGGAAGTGGCGACGACGCCCGAATCCATGTCCCCGGCGATCTGCAGCTACTGGGGTGACGTCTTTGGCCCCAAGCAGGTGCTCCAAGGTCCCGCTGATCAATGCCTGACCCGTTTCGGAGGCAATCTCGACTTCTCGGAGATCCCCCCACCGACCCTCTCAGGCACCAGAGCCCGACTGAGGACCTCGGAGGACTGCGCACCTGGACCCGATCGGCTTCCGCACGCTGCATGGCGCTTTGCACATCAGGCAGCGGAGCTGCTGGATGAATATCGTTGGCGGATCTTGGATGGGAGCTCTCCGCTATCGAATTTCAACGATATGTTGGGCATATTCATACCTAAGGGAGAGGAGGAAGGGCATGCAGGAGGAGCCACCCGCGACGTCCAGTCGCCCCGCCCGCTCGGCTTGAAGAATTCGGAGAACAAGATTCTCACTAGCCTGGTGGTGCGCCCATTTTCGGTCAAGATGGCCGAGGTCAGTTGTCGGCCCAAGGGGGGTTTCACGATTGGCAGGCAGTTCGGAGAGAACATCATCGAAATAGACACCTACGCTCGACTCGCCTCGATGTCAGACCAGGCCGAAACCAACCTCCCCGCCATCGTCTCGTACGATTTCGCTCAGGCCTTCCCCTCCGTGGCGCACTCCTGGATGCACAAAGTTTTGAAGAAAATGAATCTCCTTGGGCCCCTGGAGTGGTTCTTCTGGATCCTCTATCAGAATGTTCACTTCTTTGGGTCCCTCGGCGGAGCTACCGCGTGGCTCTTCGCCATCTGGTCAGGTATCATTCAGGGGTGCCCTGCAAGCGGAGCTTTGTTTGCAGCAAGTTTGAATCCGTTCCTGCTGGACTTCGAACGGAGCTTCGTTGACTTGCCGCGGGGTGTGATCCGCGCGTGCGCAGGTGACGTCGGCGGGGTGATCATGCGATTGAAGTACCTGACCGTCCTCTTCCGAATCTTCAGCTGGGCCCAGCGGTTGGCCGCGCTCATATTGAAAACGTGCAAATGCTTCATCACCCCGTTCTGTGGCCCGTTCAGTGAGGAGCTAGCTGCAGTGCGCCGTCGAGCTCTGGAGGAGTTCGTTCCGTCGTGGGCTGAGTTTGCGATTGTCCCGAACCTGAAGTACCTGGGGATGTGGGTGGGCCCGAACTCGTTTGCAAAATCATGGGCGGGGCCTCTAGGGAAATGGCGGGAAAGAGGACACCTACTGGCTGGAGCTAGCACACCAACCGCTCTTGCTGCAGTTCTCTATAACAACAGATGCGCGACGGTACCGACGTATGTTGCACAGTTTTTACCTCCCCCCCCCCCCGTGAAGTTACTGGGACAGGAGGTGGCGATGTTGGCTCGGATCTTCCACATCCCGCACTGCGCCCTCAGTCGGACTGGATGGTTTGGGATGAGCAAATGGGGGGGCCCGAAGTGTGCCACCCTCGGCGCCTACGCCGCGCACGGCAGAGCTGCCCTGTCCACCTTTGCGACGTGCTGGCCCCCTCTCGCCCGCAGTCTTCGCGAACAGGCCTTCCGCAAGCTCCCGATCGTGGGTGCGCTGAAGGGGGCGTGGTCCCCTACATGGCGGGGGGGGCCTGCGTTGTGCCAGAGGCTCCAAGAGGCTGCCAGAGGCTTTCCTGGGAACCCGAAGCTGGCTCATCTTCTTCCTGGATATTCTGAGGTCCACCGCCTGAGTTCTGAGGCCGCAGTGCTTAGTCGAGCTGGTCGCCCCCCCCCCCCCCCCCCCCCACCCACCCACCCACCCCCCCACCCCCCCCGCGCTTGAGGATCCAACGTGCCCTCCAGGCCTCATCGACGGCCGCCCTTTCTCCGTCGGGCGCCCTGCGGTCTCTTTTTTTCTTCGGGGGCTCAGAAGTTGGCTCCCCGAGCTTGAAGAAAATATCATCCGTATATATTGGGGCGCCGTCAGCCAGAATATGTGCCGAATGTAAGTATCACACGCGTTTGCCATGCTACGCACTCTGTCGAAAGCGTGGTTGACTCAACAACGGTTTCAAAAGCTCGGGTCGACTTGTGTAATTGGCTGTGCCCAGCCCGACTGCATGCGACACTACTGGCGATGCCCTGTCTTGGCGGAGCTGGTAACCGCCATCGTTTGGGAGAGGGCGGTGGAGCCCGGGTGGGATGGGATCGACAAACTAGGGATCCTGGCACCGTCGGCCCAGAGATTCGAGGTGCCCGTTGCCTTCTGTCTACTTTACACACAGCTGCGAGCCAGACGCGCTCGCCTTCTCAGGCCTCAAACCAGGAGCGAGGCCGAAGCCCTCATCCAGGTCGTGCGCGCCCAGCTGCGGCGCCAGCGGGGCGTGGGCGCGGCGGAGACCGAGGCGCCGCGGCCACGCGCGAGGAGGGAGGAGGGAGGAGGGAGGAGGGGGGAGGGAGGAGGGCGGAGGGCGGAGGGAGGAGGGAGGAGGGAGGAGGAGGGAGGAGGAGGGAGGAGGAGGACTAGGAGGAGGAGGAGGAAGAGGAGGAGGAGGAGGCGGAGGCGGAGGAGGAGGAGGAGGAGGAGGAGGAGGAGGGCAGGGAGAGAAGGGCGGAGTAGGAGGGAGGAGGAGGGAGGGACGGGAGGGAGGGAGGGAGGAGGGAGGGAGGGAGTAGGAGGAGGAAGGAGAGGAGGAGGAGGGGAGGGAGGAAGAGGAGGAGGAGGAGGAGGAGGAGGAGGAGGGGGGGGGGGGGGGAGGAAGGAGGGAGGAGGAGGAGGGAGGGAGGGAGGGAGGGAGGGAGGGAGGGAGGGAGGGAGGGAGGGGGGGGAGGAGGAGGAGGATGAGGGAGGAGGAGGAGGAGGAGGAGGAGGAGGAGGAGGAGGAGGAGGAGGAGGAGGAGGGATAAGGATGAGGAGGAGGAGGAGGGAGGAGGAAGAGGAGGGGAGGAGGAGGAGGAGGAGGAGGAGGAGGAGGAGGAGGAGGAGGAGAGGAGGGGGGGGGGAGGAGGAGGAGGAGGAGGGGAGGGGAAGGGGAGGGAAGGGGGGGGGAGGGGAGGGGAGGGGGAGGGGAGAGGGAGGGAGGGGATGGGAGGAGAGGAGAGGAGAGCGAGGAGAGGAGAGGAGAGGAGAGAGAGAGGCAGACGAGGGAGAGGAGAGGAGAGGAGAGGAGAGGAGAGGAAGAGGGGAGGAGAAGGAGAGGAGAGGAGAGGAGAGGAGAGGAGAGGAGAGGAGAGGGGAGGAGAGGAGAGGAGCAGGAGGAGGAAGAGGATAGGAGGATAGAAGGACAGGGAGATAGGAGGGTAGGAGGAGGTAGGAGGAGAGGATGACAGAAGGGGAGGAGGAAGGAGCCCACCTCCCCTGGCAGGAGCGCGGCGGGCTCACGCTGGCGGCCTGTCTTCTTCCGCTATCCCTGCCCGTCCCCCTTCCTCCCTCAAGCTCGGCCCCCTTTTACGAATCTGTCGGCCTTCCGCGTGGAGCTTTTCTGCAGCGGCCATTTGGCTGGCCAGCTTGTGCGCTTGCACGGGCTTCTAAGGAGTGACCGCCATTTGCAAGCATGAGTCTGGGTGTCGCTGGACAGTTTGGGTGCCACCCTCTTCGTTGTCGTTGGAAGCCGGACAGCTCGGGGTCGGAAGGGGCCCGCCGTTCATTAGGTCCTTGTCATTCTTGGTCCTCGAGCACTCCTTCTGAACCAGGCGCGCTGGGGGCCCACAAGGGGCCTCATTCATAATTCAGCGCTCCTCATGGTAGCAGCGCCATTGTATTCCTCAGGAGCGGACCTGGCTCATGTTCACGTTCGTCTTCTTCGACAAGTTCACTGGCCCGCTGGGCCAGGCCGCGATCGACACGGCCTTGCTCGCGCTGCTGCGCAGGGACTCTGGGGGCGCATCGCCGCCGGGGTGGCCCAGGCGCTGCGGTGCAGGCAAGCATTGTGGTGTGCACAGGCGCTGTGTTGCACATGGTTGCTGCGGTGTTCACATTCGCTGTGGTGCACAGACGCGGTCCATGCAAGCGCAGTTGTGTACACAGGCGTTGCCTTGCACATGGCTGTTGCGGTGTACGCAGGCGCTGTCGTGTACACGCGCGCTGTGGTGCACGCGAGCAGTATGGTGTACACAGGCGCTGTGTTGCACATGATTGGTGCGGTGTACAGTCGCTGTGGTGTACACAGGCGTTGCGGTGCACGCAGGCACTGTGGTGTACACAGGCGCTGCGTTGCACACGGCTGTTGCACTGTACGCAGGCGCTGTGGTGTACACGCGCGCTGTGGTGCACGCGAGCATTGTGGTGTACACTGGCGCTGTGTTGCACATGGTTGTTGCGTTGCACGCAGATGTTGTGGTGTACACCGGCGTTGTGGTGCACGCAAGCATTGTGGTGTACACAGGCGCCGCGTTGCACACGGTTGTCGCGGTGTACACAGGCACTGTGGTGTACAAGCGTGCTGTGGTGCACGCGAGCACTGTAGTGTACACTGGCGCTGTGGTGCAGATCGCCACTTACATGCTCCTTACATGCAGATCGCCACTTACAGCTATTCCTAGGCATTTCCAGACGCCGCCGGCGCGGAACGTGACGACTTCCGGGGGTGGGGGGCGTGGGGGGGGGGGCGGGGCCGATGACGGCCGCTATCCCAGGAAATTAATAAAATGATACCAGACAAAAACCCACTTCATAATCTTTTCAGGGCTATAGGTCTATAGGGCTATGGGGCGACAGGGCTATAGGCATATAGAGCTATAGGGCTATACGGCTATAGGGCTATAAGGCTATAGAGCTATACGGCTGTAAGGGCGATTGGGCTATAGGGCTATAGGGCGATGGGGCTCTAGGACGATAGGGCTACAGGGCTATAGGGCTATATGGCTATAAGGCTATAGGGCTGCAAGTCCATTAGGGCTAGATGGCTATAGGGCTATAAGGGCTGTAGGGCTATAGGGCTATTAGGGCTAAAATGCGATAGGGCTATGAGGCTATTAGGGCTATAGGACTATAGGGCTATAAGGCTATATGGCTAAAGGGATATAGGGCCCGGGCTATAGGGCTACCGGGCACCCGGGCACCCGGGCACCTGGGCACCCGGGCAGGCAACCGGGCACCCGTACACCCAGACACCCGGGCACTCGGGCCGGCCACCGATATCGGCTGCGAACCTCACCTAACCATGTGAATCCGCTAGGATCCCTACAGAGGCAAGCTCTGATTGGGGAACCTGCCCCACCATGGTCACGCCGGGCTTCTCGTCCCCAAGGGGTGCGGCCGAGGCCAGGGTTCGGTGGCGATCGGGATCGAGGGTGAACGTGAGAGGGGGCGGGCTTTCTCAGAAGGCCCGGAGGTCCCCGGCCCGTCCGAGGAGAAGCTGTCTGAGCCTTCCCCGAAGGCACAGGAAGCTCCTCGCGAGGCGCGAGGGCTTCTGAGAAGCCGCGCCGCCTTCCGAGGAGACCTTCCTCGGACGGAGCCGGGACGAGGACAAATCCGTTCCAGAGCGTTCGGGAACGCCCTCAGAGCGTTCCGGAATGCTCTGAGAAGGCCGCGACGCCCGAGATCCACCGGATCTCAGAGATTCTCGATTCTATCCCCACCCGATGCAATCTTCGTCCTGGTTTCGTGTTCCTATTCTCGATTGATCCTCACCCGAGTCTATCCTCGTCCAGGCTTCGTGTTCCACTTAACCTTCCCCCCCCCCCTTCGCTCGCCGCCGCGGGGCGGCCTCGGGCATGGCCCAGGATGCCCGCCGACGCCGCGTGGACGCTGCGGACAGCCCAGGAAAGGCCCATTCGTTCCTTGCTTGGTGTGCCACTGTGGAAACCCATGCCAAGAGACACCCTGCGTGCCTCCAGGGTGCCCTAGTGGAAAGCGTGACGTTCCCACGCCAAGAAGCAATGGACGTTCTGGGGTCTCAGGGTTGGGTTTCTTGCGGTCGAGCTCCTACTGTTACTGCGGTGGCCGCATCGGGCTTCTCATCCCGAAGGCTTCGAAGTACAAGCACAATTCTTGCATCGGCGTTGGGCCTCTCGCCTTGGCGCGCGGAGCGCGCGTCGACGCAGGCGCCGCCAGGGGTGCCCAGCGCCGATCCCAGGAATCCGCGCGGAGCTCCGAGCGCTTCTGTTGATGCCGTCCCTGGCTCCCCTGAGGATCGGGCCGGGGGGGGGTACGAGATCTGCTGCATGCAGCTGGTTTCGGCCCCGTCGCCAGGCCCATCCCTCGACACATGGGCGCCTCGAGGCGCTGGGAAAATCAGCTGCGTGGGCCGACTCTCTACCCTGCCCTTTGCCATCCCCCCCCCCCCCCTTTCGCTCCCCCCCGAGAGGATGCCCGCCAACGCCGTGTGGACTCTCCGCACGGCCGCCGAGCGCCTGGAGCGGCCCCTGTGCCAGCTGCTGCTGCTCCAGCTCGGCATCCCGCGGGCGCCGGCCGCCCTGCCGGTGTGCGCCGCGGGCGTCTCCGTGGCCTTCGTGTGGACGACGCTGCGCGCGGGAGACCGCCGCGGGGGCGGCGAGAAGGCGGACTGAAGGGGGCGGCGCGCGGAGTGCGAGGTGGGCGAGCGGAGACGCCCCCAGACGTCGGGCGCCTCGACGAGGTCGAGACGCAGGGCTTTCGTCGTCTCCGGCCTCTCGGGGCCCTCGCCGGGCCTCGCGGGAGCGTCAAGAGCCGACTCGGGCCGAAGCACCGGCCCCCGGGGAAGGGGTCGGGAGGTCGGGGGGCCCGCGTCTCGAGCAAGTCGAGACGTCGAGACGTCGGACGTCTGGGCGGCAGGCGGCCTTCGGAGGGGCCCCCCTCGTCGCCGCGGCCGAACGCGGCTCGGGCAGCCGGCGCGCCTAGGGACCCCCCGGGGAGGGTCCCGGGGGCCGAGGCGAGGAGCTGCCGCTGTGCCTCGGGAGGGGGGGGAGAAGCACACAGAGGCACGGGTGGTCGTCGACCCCCAGGAGAAGTTGGAAAACATGGGCAGCGGGGGGGAGACGAAGATGCAGGAGGTGTGGGCAAGCATAGGGGGGAATCCTGGGATTCATGTCTCTATTTGTGTGTGTGCGTGTGCGTGTCCCTGGGCCCCTCGAGCCGAGGTTTGGGGCTGCCGCTGTCCCCGCGCGCCCTGCTCCAAGGGCGAGGGCCCCTCAGGGCCACGGCCTCGCGCGGGTGGGGCGCGGCCGCGCGTCTCCCGCGCGGGAGGGGGCGGCTCGCCCCCGCGCGTCGAGGGCTGCCAAGGAGGTGGCAACGGGAGCTGGTTGCACACGAGGATTGGGCCAGCCTGGGCGAGAGAGCTGGGTGCACACGTGGCCTGCTCTGGCGATCGACCCTTCTGTGCGGAGTCCCCCGCACGTGTGCGGAGCGCGCGGCTTCCCCACGTTCCGCGCGCGTGAGTCCAGCCACGCGTGCGTCCAGCTTCTGGGCAGGAGCACGTCAGGCGTTTTTCCAGGCCGCCGCTGCACGACGAAGGCTCGTCGCGCGGGCGCGGGCCAGGTGTCCGGGGTCGAGAACCGCCAGGGCAGCTGGAGCGGTCCCGAGGCTTCACGTCACAGGGTACAGTGTCGGACGCGTGAACGTGGCTGCCCTCGGCCCCTCAAAGGCATTGCCTCCCTCTCCACTCAGGCTCAAGCCCGCCTCGAAGACAGCAAGGTGCGGCACGCCTCCTGCGACGTGACACGTGGGCACCCACGCGTTGGCCGGGGGGCCGGGGGGGGAGGAGGAGGAGGAGGAGGAGAAGGAGGAGGAGGAGGAAGGAGGAGGAGGAGGAGGAGGAGAGGAGGAGGAGGAGGAGGAGGAGGGAGGAGGACCCCGTTTTCTCGGCGGGTCGCTGCCCGCGAGCGCCTCGCGGCGGCCGTGCGCGCGCAGTCTGCACTGGTTCGACATGCGGTCGGGCCTTTTGACTCCGCGTGGCGCTCCGCCGGGGTCCGTGCCCACCACGCTTCGGCGCGACACGCTATCCACGTCCCAATTTCGGCGGCGAGCGAGGGGGGGAAGTGAGAAGGGGCGGGCCTTCTGAGAAGGCTCGGAAGCGCCCCCGGCCTTCTGAGAAGTGTTCTCGGAAGGCGCGAGGCTTCTGAGAAGTCCCGCCGCCTTCTGAGAAGGCCCTCTCCTCCTCACTTCCCCCCCTCGCCCGCCGCCAACTTCCCAGCGTCAACGGCCTGAGCTGTCCCTGGCCTCCCGCCGAGCGGAGCCGTGCGGCACGCTGCCTCCGCGAGCAGGACATAAGGGGTGTCACCGGGGCCGCCCCCGCGGCACGCTGAGCAAGAGCCCCCGACCATAGCATGCACACAGACTGCGCCGCCGACATCCCTCCTCGAAGTCAAACGCAAGTGGTTTCCCGCGACGTGGCGGCGCCCCCGGGACCACAGCATGCCAGCGCTCGCGCCGAAACTGGCGACCGCAGGCACGAGGGATCGGACCCCGCGGGCCGCGCTTCGCACGTCGATCGAGAGCAATCACGAGCCTGCGGTCGGCTTCGGGGAGGGCGGCAGGGCGCTCCGGAAGGGGCCCCTCCCTCGAGGGATCGCGAGGCCGGCGTCTTCTCTTCGGCGGAGCGCACGCGCCAGCGGAAGCGCAGGCGAGGGAAGGCGGCTCCGCCAGCGGAGGCCGGCGGGAGCCGGCGAGCGCACGCCGGCCCTGTGCTCGGCATCTCCTGGGCGTGTGCAGCTCGTCTCGGCGAGGGCCCTCGAGGAGCATCCTGGATTGTCTTGCAGCAAAAAAATGAAAGCACGCGCGCACGCACGAAGCAGAACAGAGTGCACGGGGGATGGCCGTCCGAGCGATGGCAAGTCCAGGAGACGCGGCTCGGGGAAGGAGCTCGGGGGATTCAGGGCTTCTGGAGCGTGCCACAGGCTGCACCCCGGCCTCCTCTTCGTCGTCCTTCTCCTCGTCCTCCTCCTCCTCGTGCTCCTACTTCCCCTCCTCCTCCTCGTGCTCCTCCTCCTTCTCCTCCACACAAATTGCCCCAGTCCGATTTCACCACATTGATGCTTTTCCCTGAAGAAGGAGTGGAATGCATTCCCAAATAACAGCATGCCAGCCAGCCGCGGTATTGATCCACTCCTTCACCCTTGTCAAACAGAAGCATGCGGTGCGCAAGCGTTGATCCAATATGTGTTTTCTCTAAGAATCCCTTGCAGCTAATCTACTTCAAGGCAATGCTATTCAAAAGCTATCATTGCTGCCAGCGTGCACCGCAAACAATACATGTATGCATTGTGGATGTGCAAGATGGATGGAGCAAGCTACGTGGTACAAGCCAGGTGGTGCACTATACGCGGTGAATACGTGTGGCGAAAGCCATGGGATGCAAGCGATGTGGAGTAAGCTGCGTGGGATAATACATGCGGTGAAAGCTATGTGGTGTAAGCTATGTGGTGCAAGCTATGTGGTGCAAGCTGTGCGGTGTAAGCTTTGTGGTGCAAGCTATATGGTGCAAGCTGCGTAGTCTAAGCTATGCAGCTGCTTGCGACAAGTCCCGCCACCGTGCCAGCCCAGCATTCTTGGTGGCGACGTTTCGAGGGGTCACGGGAGGCTGTCACGCGTGACACTTCGTGTCCACAGGTTTGGAAGAGCCGTGATGAAACGTATGATGAGGATGCGGATGACAGTGAGGATGAAAGTAAGGATGAGGATGAGGATGAAGACGACGACAACGACGACGACGACGAACTTGATGGTGATGGCGACGGTGATGGTCATGGTGATGGTCATGATGTTGATGATGATAATGATGTTGATGCTGATGCTGATGTTTTGTTGATGATGGTGATGATAAGGATGATAAGGATGATGATGATGCTGATGATGATTAGTATGATGATGGTGATAATGATGATGATGATAATGAGGATGGTGATGATGATGCTGATGATGATGATGATGATGCTGATGATGAAGATGATGATGGTGATGGTGATGGTGATGGTGATGGTGATGGTGATGGTGATGATGGTGATGATGGTGATGATGATGATGATGATGATGATGATGATGATGATGGTGATGATGATGATGATGATTATGATGATGATGGTGGTGGAAGGGATATCGAGGAGGGAGGAGGAGGAGGAGGAGGAGGACAAACAAGAGCAGAACGAGGAGGAAACGGAAGGCCTTGGCGTGTGACACCGTTCGTCTTCATTTCTTGACGAGCTCTCCTGGAGCTCATTTGGGCTGTCTAGAGACTGTCGTGTCCTGTGGGGCGGTCCTTTGGGTCCCTTGGGACCGGCTTGGGGCCCTCTTGGGCCGTCGTGGGGCCCTCTTGGGCCGTCTTGGAGCTTTCCTTGGCCGTCGTGAGGCCTCTTGGCAGTATGGGGGGTGGGGGGGCCGGGGGGCCGTCGTGGGGCCCGCTTGGCGCCCCATCGGGGCCGTCGAAAGTTGCCTCAGGCCGTCTTGGGTCCATCTAGAAGGCCTCTTGGGCTGTCTTGGATGCCTCTGAGGCCATCGTGGAGCCCTCCCAGACCATCTTAGGACCTCCTTTGAATCTCGTGGGCAGTCCTAGGGCCATGTCTGAGGCTTCTTAGGCCGCCTTGAGCTGACGGAAGCGCGAAAAGGTGACAATACTAACATCCATCAACAAATCTTTGAGAGCAGAAAAGTATAAGTCTGGCCTCTTCGGACTTTGTTGGGGTCCCCACTGTGGCCTTTTTAGGATCTCTCGGATGCATGTTGGGCCGTCTTGGGGCCATATCGGGCCGCCGTGTGGTCATATTGAGCCGTCTTCAAGGCACCGTGGGCCATGTTGGTTGCAGTGGTTGTCTGCCTGGGCCGTCTTGGAAGCTTGGGACGCGGACGCTCTGGTTTCTCCCCGCCATCTTTTGGTCGTGGGTCCTCGTTTTGAAGAGTCAGCGCCCCGCGTTCTCCGTCAACAGCCGCCTCTTCCTCCTCCTCCTCCTCCTCCTCCTCCTCCTCCTCCTCCTCCTCCTCCTCCTCCTCCCTCGTTTCCTTCCATCCCATCCCTGAGATTACCCCCCGCATAGTGAGCTCCACCGCAGGCCCCAGTGGCAGCGCTCGCATGCGGCTCCACACCCAATTTCGGCGCACCCATCACACGGTTCGTGGCCCCACAGGGGGGCTCCAGAGAAGGCCCCAGTGGCTGCATTCGCATGCGCCCGCCGCCCGCCGCACCCGTCTCGGCACACCCCTCACAAGCTGCGTGGCCCCATAGACAGCTCAACCGAAGGTCGCAGTGGCTGCGTTCGTAAGCGCCCGTCGCACCCATGCTGGCACACCCCTCACACGCTTCGTGGCCCCATAGACAGCTCAACCGACGGCCGCAGTGGTTGCGTTCGCATGCGCCCGTCGCACCCATGTCGACACACCCCTCACACTTTCCGTGGCCCATATATGGAGCTCCACCGTAGGCCCCAGTGGCTGCGTTCGCATGCGCCCGTGGCACCGCTTCTCGAACCACCCCTCACACGCTTCGCGGCTCCAGAGAGGGTTCAACCGAAGGCCAAAGTGGCTGGGTTCGCACGCGCCCGCCGCACCTACTTCGGCACACCCCCTACATTTTTTGGCGGCCACATAGGGAGCTCCACCGAAGGCCTCAGTGGCTGCGCTCGCATGCGCCCGCCGAGCTCATTGCGGGCGGCACGCCCCCCCCCCCCCCCCTACGGCTCGCGGCCCCGTAGGGAGCTCCCCAGAAGGCACCAGTGGTTGCGTTCGCATGAGCCCGCCGCACCCATGTCGGCACACGCCTCAGACGCTTCGTGGTCTGAAAGGGAGCCCCACCAAATGCCCTGGTGCCTGCGTACACATGCGCCCAACGCACACATTTCCGGACATGGCTCACACGTTTCGTGGCCCCATCGGGAGCTCCAACGAATGCACCAGCGGCTGAGGTTGCCTGCGCCCGTCGCACCCATGTCGGCACACCCCTCCCACGCTTCGTGGTTCCATAGTAAGCTCCATCAAAAGCCCCAGTGGCTGCGTTCGCGTGCGCCCGCCGCACATCTTTCCGTACACCCCTCATTCGCTTCGTGACCCCATAGGAAGCCCCATCGAAGGTCCCAGTGACTGCGTTCGCATGCGCCCGCCGCGCGCATTGCGGCACACCCCTCACACGCTCCCTGGCCCCATAGGGAGCTTCACCAGAGGCCCCAGTGGCTGCGTTTGCATGCGCCCGCCCCCCCATTACGGCACACCTCGTGGCCCCGTATGGAACGCCACCGAAGGCCCCAGTTGTTGCGTTCGCATGCGCCCGTCGCGCACATGTCGTCCCACCCTTCACACGTGTCGTGGCCCCATATGGAGCGCCATCGAAGGCATGTGGCTGCGTTCGCATGCGCCCGTCGCACCCATGTCGAATCACCCCTCACACGCTTCGTGGCCCCACACGGAGCTCCACCGGAGGCCTTACCGGCTGCGTTCTCATGCGCCCGCCGCATATACTTCCGCACGCCGCTCACACGTGTCGTGGCCCCATGAGGAGCCCGACCGAAGGCCCCGGTGGCTGCGTTCGCGCGCGCTCAACGCACAGATTCGGCACGCCATCCACACGCTTCGTGGATGAGGGGCTCAGCGAATGCACCAGCGGCTCCGTTCGCATGAGCCCGCCGCACCCATTTCGGCATCCCTTCATGCGTTCCGTG